GAATCATCTGGGTTATCCACTAAAAATAGATTCCTGAACCATTCACTCCTTGGAGGTTTTGAGTAAGTAGTCTTGGGGATAGTATTTTTAATAAGCACCAAAGTAATTGTGATGGCTTAAGTCTTCAGACACCTAGGAACTAATGCACTTGTACACTTCTTCCTAGAGAAAGATTTCCTTTATGCTAAACGCTGAATTATGTTTTGGATATTGCTTATGTACAAAGCAAGATTAACTTAATGTTGGAAATTCTTGTACTTTGAGAATCTTTAACCATTAAATTTACATCAGTATGTTTCTGGTATCTAAAAGACACCCAGGTAGTCCCAATGAAAAAGAGACATTAGAATATATGACTGTTTTACATGTAGTTTTATTTTCATGTAAGTTTCATTTGCCCCTTCATCAAACATTAATTGTCTGCTGTGCTGCCTGTAATGTCTCTGTGGGAAATAGAAATACACATGAATCTGAACATAAACACATACATTCTGCTAAATGCTAGAATGATTCAACTTTTTAAACTAAATAGGCATGAACATTTTGTTGAAGCTTCAACATTAATCAATCATTCCCTTTTTGCAGGGGAGGGATTATAGGAATAACAGTTTACAGGACCAGGTAAAAAAGCTGAATACTAAATTTAACTTAAAAAAAATAAAGCAGAATCTGCCTACAAATGTTTCATGAATGTATCATGTGAAGAATTTACTTAGGAAGTATTTTTATGTTCAAGAACTGCATACACCAGTACTGAGGACTTTGGCTGTAGCGTTATCTCATACCCCAGATGGAATAAAGGGAGTCGATTTCAGGAAACGCTGATTCTGAGCCTAGAGATACAGTAAATGTAGTTCTGTAAGTGACCATGCCRGTGTTGGCTGGGAAGGACAGAAACCCTAAAGACTTAAGAGTTTGGTAGTGAAGTGACCAAGAATCTATTTTTTTTTTTTTTTTTTTTGGTATCCTCATTCTAAACAAGTGATTATTGTTTTAAGCCAGAAAGATATTTCGAGCTGATTCATCTTGTGTTAGATGTTAGTTGTATTGTGAATATTTAAGGAAATAAGGGGAAGTATAAAGGAAAAGATTGCTTATATTCTGTTTGCAACCTTCTTATAAAGAGGTTTTCTTTTTTCAAGAAAAAAATTGTTAAGAAATATGCCTTTGGTCTAGGTTATCATCATTTACCGTTTTATGGTTCTGGTTTTTGTTTATTATTTATTTTATTATTAACTACTAATTGTGACTATAGATTAGTCAATATACCCTTTTTAGACTTTGTTCCTACTGTAGGTTTCTACTCAGTATAATCACTTTTAAGGCTTTTCCAGAATCTGGGATTTAGAATCTGCCATCTTTAGTTCTCTATATACTAATTGTGACTATAGATTAGTCAATATACCCTTTTTAGACTTTGTTCCTACTGTAGGTTTCTACTCAATATGATCACTTTTAAGGCCTTTCCAGAATCTGAGATTTAAAATCTGCCATCTTTAGTTCTCTATAGGAGTGCTATCAGCATTCACCCCAGAAACCAATACTCCTTAGAGGGTTGAAACTTTTGTTAATGTGCTGCTCAACTGGGAGGACATGGTAACGCCCATACTGAAACCAAGGAACTTTGTGAAAGGGTCAACATCTTGCTTTTCCCATAACAGGCTCTGTTGACTTGGAATAATTACAGATTGTCCATTGAACCATTTCAAATGAAGAAACGTGAAAGGAGTGACAGAAGCGTATTTTAATTTGAATTAAAAAATGGAGGATAATTCAGGTTTTATAAATCCTTACAAATCATTGATTTTTAATTTCATGTAAATACCAATAAAACTAAGTGGCTCCAGTTTGTGGATGTGTATTCTGAAAAGTTTGGTTGTAAATTGTTTTTTGGAGCATTGTCCACATGAACAGTATTAAAACATGGTGACGTATGATAGAGGCTAGCTACCTGTTGAGCACATAATGGTGCTGAAATATTGTTCTTTTTGGTGACAAATGAGAGCTGATAGTGCTATACAATTAATTTTAAAGACTGTTGAACACTTTTTTTTAATTCAATGCCAGTATTTACAAAAGGTAAAAATTAAATATTTGAGCAGTTTTTTTGTGGTACATAAGTAAARATGTATTGTTAGGAATTCCATGGTTCTAACCATGGAATCTGATCCTTTGACGTCTGTCACCCTTTATGTTTATAGTGATATGCGTGTGTTCACAAGAGTGAAACACAAAAATGGTTCCATTACATCTGTTCTCTCTGCTACTATTTTATCTCCTTTTTACTGAGGTCTTGGAAACTCAGACTCCTCTCTCACCAGCTCAGTCTCTTTGCTCCTGTAGAGAATTTCCACTCCCATTATGTAAGTAAACTACTCTTTGAAGGTTGCCCCTTCACATCATCAAGAAATGGGTGTTTTTTCTTTAATTGATTTTTTTTTTTTTTTCTGTCACTGAGGGAGCTCTTCAGKTTCTGTCATTGGTCCTGTTTCACCATTTCTCTTGCTTTTTCATTGGTACCATACCTTCCTTCTGCTGCTGTTTGTACTCTGAGTTCATTTCATTCTTTTTATTTTCACTAACATTTCAGCTTCCCTTCTTTATTCCCAGTTTATTTATTATGAAGAAGTATTCCCAATTTACTTTTTTTAAAAAACGTTTTTTTAGTTGCAGACAGATACAATACCTTTGTTTATTTATTTTTATGTGGTGCTGAGGATGGAACCCAGTGCCTCACACATGCTAGGCAAGCACTCTGCCAACTGAACTACAACTCCAGCCCTCTCAATTTATTTCTAAGTGAAATAAATTGAGAGGGCTGGAGTTACCGCTATTGTTACTWATTAAGTAATTACATAGGAACGTTAAGACCAAAATTGGTATTTACCTACTTGCTCTTGCTTAGTGTCCTGGTCTTATTCATTTCTTACATTGATGTACTAGGTCTCTTAAATTTTCATTGCCTTCACCTTCTGTTCCTTCATTCTCCCCTTTATGCTGTGACCAAAGCCATCTACTTAAATCAACTATAGGATTAGATAATGGTTTTCTCTTGCCCTGTAGAATAAAATATAAGAATTGGCTGGTTGGCTTTCTTTCTTTATTTCCTTTTTGGTACTGGGGATTTAACCCAGGGGAGCTTTAACCACTGAAAGACAAGGTCTCCCTGAGTTGCATAGGTCCTTGCTGAGTTGCTGAGGTTGGCTTTGAACTTGTGATCAGTCTGCCAAAGCCTCCTGAGTAGCTGGGATTACAGGCCTGTGCCAACATGCCAGAGTTGGCTTTTTGTTGTTTTATAAAGCTAGGGAACAAATTTCATCTCCAAAATATGAAAATTTTATACATGTTTACAGCTATTAGAAAAGAACTAAATGGTGTCAGTAGGTGCTAAGTTCCTCTTCATTAGTAGGAACATGATAAAACACTAAGCTCTCAAATTTAACAGGTTGTTGGAGCTTTTTGAAACAGCACTCTAGGCATTTGATTGCATCTTTCAGACTGCTTAAGTCTTAGAACTGCCCAACACAGATAAATTTTTAATGACCAAGAACTATGTTCTGGAATGTGCTAAACATATATTTGTTAAGTAAATGAGTAATACCTGGGTACTTTGAGTACATTTGAGTGGAGAGAATGTTCTTTATTTTTACTTCAAACTTGGTTTGTTAAGTGCCCTGCCACTTAACTATATCCCCAGCCTCAGAATTGGTTTTGTGATGTGAGAATATTAGATCTAAATTCACAGTGCTGGTTTCAAATCTTGGGATTCTGCCTGAGTGACCTTGGAGCAAGTTATTTGTCATCTCTCAGTGTACTTTTGCATCTGTAAAATTAAAATGATAGTTATTGTGAAGTAATCCTGAGGATTAAATGCATGGCAAAAATGTTTTAGAATGCCAAGCGCTTTACAAATAGTAGAAATTTTTCAAAATAAATGATTTCTTGTTTATTCTTATTTAATGTCGGTATATTACTACTATTACTCTTTCACCTTATAATTAGGATCATTTTTTAGTTTAGCAGAAGAAATAAATAATCGTTTTCTTTTAAGAAGTAATAACCTTCCCAGCTCTTCAAAGCAAAATTTCTTTTATTGTTGAATTCATTATTTTAATTTCAAACTACAAGCATTTCTGGGTTTTTCTTCTTTCAGTTTTGTTTCAGATTTGGGCAGAGATTCCTAGAGTTGTTCTAATTACCAAAAAGTACCACTGGCAAAACTAAGTGACATATATTTTTCTAAGTGGATCACATTTGCAAAAATTCCCARTTTTAAGATTTTTCTTAAATCTGGTGTTTACTACATTTTTGCGGTAATTTTAAGGTGATTAAGTCAACTAACCATTGGCAAAAAAMGTTTAATGATGATATTCAACAACTTAATTCTTTATTAATTTTTAATTATTTCACTTGTCTCTACATATGATCACATATTTTATATTTTGCATTTTTAATTTTATATTACCTATAAATGCTGTAACTGTGCATGTTGCTGATATCTTTTCTCAGACTGTGTATGATGCAATTATATATGTCATTTTTATCATGGTTCTTCATGGAGCAATCACTGTGTYCCAGTGAAGCCAGTTTTTGAATCACTGTTTTGTAAACTAGTACCTTGCTAGGGATGTTAGMTTTAGGAAAAGGAAGTTCTTGAGTCTGCCAAGAAAAAAAAAGAGATGTCGTGCTGACCATGGCTTTCACAAGTAACAGATCAGCTTTTTATAAGATGGGATACAGATGCATGCCTGTAATCCCAGCGGCTTGGGAGGTTGAGGCAGGAGGATTGAAAGTTYGAAGCAGCCTTAGYAACTTAACAAGACCCTGTCTCARAAATAAAAAGGGCTCGGAATGTGTCTCAGTTGTTAAACACCCCTGGGTTAAATCCCCAGTACCAAAAGTGGGTGGGAGGTGAGCTCTATAATTTGGAGAAGAAAATTATTAGTATTTGTTGTTTCCCTTCAGAATGAATTTGTGTTGCTCCTTTTCTCTTTTACCAGGTCTGTGTATGTTTTGTGCCCAGCTGTTTTATAACACACAAAAAGAGAAGAAATTTGCAGTGAATGAAGATTCCTCTGCATTTTAGCATTGCTTTTTCTACTGTAGTTGGTTTTTGAATGAGGATGACAATGGAAGAGATGAAGAATGAAGCTGAGACCACTTCTATGGTTTCTATGCCCCTCTACGCAGTTATGTATCCTGTGTTCAATGAGGTAAGTAGGTAAACATTTTCTGGTGATCACTGCTTTCATACATTYGTGTTTGTTCTTTCATATAACAAATACTTCTGTAGATGAACTCCATCTATGTGTTAGGCATGTGTCGGCCCATAAAGTAGTAAAAACAAAACCACACGGATATGCCACCTCCCTCTAGATCTTGTGCTGTAGTGGGAGAGCATAAAGAACACAATTATGTAAATAAAGAATCATAATAAGTGAAATGAAGTAAGAAAAAAATGTATTAAGGAAAAATGGTATGTGGGACCTATTTTAGGGACAGGGCTCACTGAAAAAGACACATGCTAGGGTCTGAAAGAGATAAATAAGAATTACAGTTGAATATAAGTACATTTTAGGTACAGGGACAAGAGATCCTGATAAGTCATCGATGATAAAGTACTTATTCAAAATTGATATTTGGAAGATCCCACTGCATTTGTATCTGGAAAATACATGCTTGTTTTTTACTGGAGGAATTTTCTTGGATTTAATATCAATACATTTTTGGTTTTCTTTTAAATTAATAGAACAATATACATAAGAGAATTTTAGAGCTGAAAGTTTTAAAAAATATTATTGAATTAATCCTGTTCTGGTGAACTGAAACCCTGAAATATAAAATTATTTTCCTAAAATTACCTTGGACTAAAATCAAATCTAGGTGATCTGACTCTAAACTCAGTGGCTCAGCTTTTTTTTTTAATACTTTTTTGGTATTARTCAAATTATCTTTCATAAACCTAAATTAGCCTTGTTGCTAGCTCAGCTGGAAATTTTCACCATTTCCATGATTTTTCATCTGTTTTCTTTGATACTGGGGAATGAATGTAGGCTCTCATACATGCACTTTCCCATGGATCTGTAGCCCTGGCTGTGTAAAGTATTTTTATTAGAGTAAAATTCTGGGTTTTAAATCTATATTTTCCCAGATTACTGGGTTAGAGTGTAGTTGATATATTTTATGATCTGAAGTCTTGGGGAGGCAATGGAGGGTAATACATAAATACTTTGAATAAGAAAACTCCAGGTTTAATTGCAAAATCAGATGTACATATTGGAATTCCAAACATTATTTACCAAATAGTATCAGGTTCTGTGACTATAAAAGAAGATTCAAAATGAGGACTATGAAAAGTTTTTATCTCCCTGTTATAGAAAAGATTCTGGAGGCAAGTGGTCCAAGTCTTGTATTATCATGACTCATTGTGATTAGAAACTCAAGTTCTGGTCTTTTGCTTCACCATCTATTAGCAAGATCTCAGCATGCAGGAYAGCTAGCTGCCCAAGCTCCATCCATTATGTCCAGAGTTGTCTGGAAGGGGCACAAGTGTCATCATGTGACATTCTGCTTCCAGCTGAGTCTCCTTCCTTTAAGTAGCCCTTTTGAAAGTTCTGCTCAAGACTTCCATGTACATCACATTTGTAAGAACTTGATATCGTGACCAAACTTAGCTGTACAAGAGCTTATCCCTGTTAAAGCACTACCGTGATAGCATCAGAGGCACTCTGTCCATAAATGGCAGCTATTACCAACACAACAAAAATTCTGCTGTTTTGATGTTGTGATACTTTATTCATTCATTGTAAGTAGTAATTTTTAGAAACAAGTGCTGTTTGGGAAATACTCCATGCCAGCCATTTATTTTCTGAGTATTCTGCTGGAATCTGGAGGTATGAAAAAGAACACAACATAACCTGTTCTCKAGAATCTACTAAGGAACAGAGATATTTAAGCAAATAAATTGCTTCATTATCCTTGTATCAGGAATGAGGTGTGGAGACAGTSACTGAAAGCTAATAAGTAACCTTGTGTTGATAACAATTATAATTTGAACTTCTTGGATAATCTGAGAACCATTGTCACAATCCTTTCCAGAGGTTTGTATCCCATTTTTTCATGTCTGTTTATCTAACTTGATAGGATTGTTGTATTTATCTATTTAAGTCTCTCCTTGAGGAGAGAAAAATTTATATCATAGAGCTTTAGTTTAATAATCTAGTTAAGGGAGAGAAATGGAAAAAAGCTTTTGTTCTAGCTATGTGGTCTTTTTTTCTACACATGGAAAATGGCTATTTGAATCCTGACTTAAAAAGTCAAGTTATATAGAATGTAGGGCTCTGATAAAATGAACCATTGGGATTAATATTGATTAAGTTTTTCTTATTGATTTATAAAAGAAATTAATTTGAAAGAAGTGACTATGAATGAACTGGTAAAATCTCTTCCATAAATAAAGGTAGTGATTTTTCTCCAGATGAGATTGGCTAACATGTGGGTTTACTGGGCATAGAATACATTGCCAAATTACTCATAGTTGGTCCATGAACAAATTGTTGCAAGTAAAGTTTGAAAATGAAATGGTCAAATGTGGCAGACTGAGAGGTACGCAGCAGATTGTCATAGTCTAATTCACAAATTGAATATGCTTATCTAACATAATAGTACCAAGTTTCTAAAAAAGTTATTTCTGTAATGTATTAAAAAGCATGTTTAAAACTCTGAGGGGTTTTAGGAATAGTGAAGGTAGTTTCTAGCTTTTCTCTTTGACAGAGTTGAAATCTTGGGCTTTTATCAGAATGGAATAAAATAATTATTGTGCCTTCAGATGTGAAGTGTTTGGTTAAAAAGTATTTTAGCCAGCCAGGCACAGTGGTGTACACCTGTAATTGCAAAGCTCTGGAGGCTAAGACAAGAAGATCTTGATCAGCAAAAGTGAGGCACTAAGCAACGCAGTGAGACCTTGCTCTAAATGAAATACAAAATAGGGCTGGGTATGTGACTCAGTGGTTGAGTGCCCCTGAGTTCAATCCTTAGTACCAGGAAAAAAAAAAAAAAAGCATATTTAAGCCAATACTAGCATTATTCTCTGGCATTCCAGTGTGTTAATGTAATATCAAAATAAGATACCTAATGAATTAAACATTAATATTTAACGGTAGTTCAACCATAAATTCTTCTATAAGTCTGCTAATGGGGAAATTATAGTTTAGCATGGCTCTGTTTTTCTGTACTATGCAGTTTTAAAGATAAAAATGGTTTCAAATTAGCCTTCCGGAAAATAGTACCACAGTAAGCATAAATATTTTACTCAGATAAATGGTGCACTAAATCTTATCCACAGTGTATTACGAGTGAAAAAGCTTATTCATTCTCACCTTAACATTTTGATACATAATAGCTACAGTGGTAGTCAAGAAAATCATCTTTTAAAAGATTATATACTGGGATATACTAACATCTGGGGGAAATTTTAGTACTATTACTCTGCTTACAAGTCAAAGTTATTGATGGTATTCTGAGAACTTGAATCTTAGAAGTTAATGAAGTTATTCTAAGACAACAGAAAAGGATTGCACTTGTTTGATTAGCTGCTGTCACGTGTATTGCATGTGTTCTAAATGTACAGTGAATTAGGTCTCCTTATAGCATAAAGGTTTGATAATGATTGRTTTCCTAATGTTGGTTTCCAAAAATCTCATGCCAAGTCTTTAGATCAGGTTCTCATGTAACTGTTTCATTCCGTACCACTTCTTTGTGTATGGAGGAGGAAAGAAATGCCACTCACTTCTTCATTCCAGGAAACAATAAATTATGTGTCTCCTTTTCCTATGACCTTTTATAATTATTATTCTGAAAAGAAATGCAATATCTGAAGCAATACATGTCACATTTAARAAAATATGAATGTTAGATTACCAAAGGTTTAATGTTTATTAATAAAACACAAAAATATACTTATAAAATAAATATCATTCCATTCAGAAGCCTCTGAATCAGCTATTTCTGCCAACTTTTGGCAGATATGGAACTCCTAATTTTTTCTAGTAAGCAGATGAATCCTGAATCCTGGGAATGCTTCTGCAACTTGACCTATCTACTTTTTATTTCCCCCTCCCCCCGACTTTTTTTTTTAAATACTGCTCTGCCACATAAATAGTAGTACACTTAGTTGACATAACTCTTGTAATAAAAGTGCTGATGTTGTATAATATAACATACTTAGAATACTACCAGGCATACAGTAAGTATTAGGATTCTTTCACATTTGTTTTCTGACAATATTATGTTCAGGCACAATTTTGTATACTTGCCAATTAAAATTTTAATGGAATTATTTTTGTACTCATTTGATGACTCTGCTTTTTTACTAGATAGTTTGGCAACCCCAGTAACTGATTCTTGTAGAAACATATRGAGAATTTAATATGAGTAAAATAGCTGATTGCATATTTGTGGCATTTTTGTTTCTGTTCTTCTGGCATCCTTATTTTTTGACCTGTCTCACTTCATTCTAATTTGAATCATAAGAGGTGTACCTGGAGTTTTTAACCTTATGAGTTGGCCCAGTTTAAATTCTTTTTAAGAAATAGGATCAATAATTTTGGGGGCAGGCGTGTAGGGGAAGGAGTGTCAACATGGGAAAATCAAATCTTGCCTGATTTTGAGGAAGCAAGTAGATTTGTAGGCAGTTCAGAACCAATTAACCTAATTATTTTGACCTTTAAAAAAAAAATAGCTTGCRTAAGATTTTATGCAAGGCTTTTGAACACTTGAGCACCAAAGGGCTAATTGGATTTTTTTTTTTTTTAATTATGGCTTTAGGAAACTAGCTTGATTTTGGAAAAGTGTAGAAGTGAATTGATATTTCTAGAAGGAGCAGTGTAATAAATGAGCTTTCTGTAGAATCAAAATTATAGGTAAGCTTTTAAAATATTTTTGTAAATGCACCAAAGAGTGTAAATTTGACAAGTTTGCAGTTGATACTAAGTGCTCTCAAAAGCTGTCAAGACTAAGCTTTAGAAGGTTGAGTAGGCAGAATGTAGGATTGAGATAAGACCTGATGTTGAGCTCTCAAACTTGTCCATTTCTTCCAAATGTGCTTCAGCAGTCACTTTTTCTTCTCTTTTAGGTGAAATGGAGTATTATGTATCCTTTTTTTCTCATTCTTTTATATGGAAGTTCTGTATGACTGAGGCCCAAGGAGTGCCTTTCTTTGTTCAGATATCCATTAATGCAAGATGCAGTTGTAATGTTCCTCCTCCATTGGACCAAAAATATGTGCCARCATTCTTCAAATAAGTTAGGATTCTGTAAATAAACTTGGGTTCTGTAAATATTCAAAGATGATTATTCCAACAGCTTACAAAATGTTGGACTCAGTGGAAATATTGAAAAAATGGAAATTTTTTGCTGTTCTAGACTTCAATAAAAATCTTCACATCCTCATATGTTACCTGAAGAAATCCCTAAGTGGGAGATCTTCTAAAAAAGATGATTTTAAGAGGCCAGGCCACTTTAATCAGTTCAAATGCCATCTTTATAAAGACTTTCCTTTCAACTTCAGCTGATAATCCCACAGCTTTTTATGTAACTACTTACCTAAATTGCTCTCTGGAGGTAAAGGACAGTGGCATGTTTCTTGCTATTTCATTAACTTCTTGTACATGATTGAAATTGAAGTGTGTGTTAGTTCTTATAGAACAGAGTTACAGAGTTGATGATAGGATAAACTTCATTCTGGAAAGTGAGTAAGAGGAGTCAGGTAGCAATAGTGACTTGTGCAAATTTTGTAGCTAGACAGATCTCATATGAATATCATCTCTATTAGATGTTTAACATTTAAAAATTAATACAAACTGAATTTTTGTCTCTAGAAGATGGATAAATATGCTAATATCTGTAACTTAATTTATTGTGAAAATATAGATACTCTATAGGAAGATACACTAGAAAAATCCAAAATAGGTATTTAATAAATAGTAACTCTTATTAGAATATTATCAAAACTTACTACCATCAAGAGAGGCACTAGTAAGATGAAATGAAATATTTTGGTTAAATCATATCACAAGTGGGTTAAAAGAAAAGCACTTTTTAATAAAGGAGTTAACATATTTTGGTACCTAAGTTTTATGGGCTGAAATTATAGATTTAAGAACAGTTTAGATAAATTTATGGATTAATATTACTTCAGTTCAAATGATAGGTGTGTGCCTGGTACTGCCCTTGGACATGGAGTCAAAAAGCCTGTTGAATTTATTGCAAAGCATGTAGGTGTATAGTATACCCCAGAATGACTCCCAGGAGAGTTCTGCTGAGGTATTTCACAGCTCAGACTATTGATCTAGTAAAATGTGTCTGACTTTCCTRTGACTTCCCTTTTTTTGTAAGATAAATATGTAAACTAGAAATCTGGAGATGTTGATTTCTATTTTGGATAATTTTACTAGGTCTTCTCTAGCTTTTCTGGACCTTTTACTTCCTTGATCCTTTCATATACCAGTTAGGGCAATAGAGAATGAGTTAATGTTGCTTATACTTGAAGGCACATGTCTGACTCAGACCTTTGACTTGCTGAAAGAGGTCACTGTGGTGTAAACCCAAATAAGGAAATGGGTTTTTAATCAGGAGGGAAACATTCATCCTGTCTGCCACCCCTATCTTCCCTTGCACAACAACTTATAGTCTGCTCAACTGTATTGTTATTTTAATTACTTAAGTAATATTCATTATAATTACCTGAATTGTATGGAAGTAGAAAAGCTATTTCATTTTTGGAAACATACTTTGCTAATTATATAAACTACTTTTGTAATAAATTCTTTTTCTATATTTGCTTACTAGGTCCCTACTATCTTCCCTTTTACATACTTATTACAATATTAGATTTTATAAGCTTTGTAGAAGCCAAATTAGTACTAAGCTAAATGGCTCTTTTTATTTATTTATTTATTTTTTTGAGAAACAAATTACTTATTTTGGGAGATTTTGCTTAACACTTAAGGTAAATAATTTGTAGGCAGATTGGATTCATGGCATTCTGTTTTATTTAGAAAATAAATTGATATAAAGTACTTGATCCCCTACATGTGGATATAGACAGATGTGATTTGTTTATTTTGATATGTCATTTATAAAAGAAAACATACTTTCATTGACCTATGGGATTGGAAGAATTATTTATAACATAATATGACATATTCTTGAAGATTTTGTAGAAATATTCACCTGCATTAAAATCTATAAAGGTTAAATTGTTTTCTATCATTTAATATTGTCCCAAATAAAAAATATATGCATTTGGGTTATATTAATTAACCCAATCTTAGGGACTAACAAATTCTGAATTTAACTGAAGTTAGTTTTTTTAAGCTTGGCAATTAACTCTTCAACAGAAAAGTATTTTTATGAAATTCTGGGCCTTCTTTGGTTCACTGGAAAATGAAGTAATATCAATATTATACTATTATTTAATAATTATCAACTTATTTAATATATAATGTGATGTATATAATAAAGACATTTAYCTTTTATAATTAATAAAACTATACATTTGACATAAAATTAATGCTGTTTGAATTGAACTTTATTAGTTCATTATATAAATAGTTGTGTGTGTATATATGTATATATATATAAATAAATAAAATACTGGGGCTCATTTTGACATAATTACACAATCCTAGAATATAATTTGCTCCAATTCAGTTCCCTTTACTTCCCCTTTCCCTGCCTGCCTCCCTCCCCATTCCCTTTCCTCTACCCTAGTCATCTTTATTTATAGTTTATAGTTTTTCTTTTTAAATTAGTACATTATGGAAATATATAAAGGTGAAATTCACTGTGGTATGTTCACATGTGTTCACATGAAAGTTTAATCACTATTTTAGATGATCATTTCTTAATACTGGTACAGTAGAATATAGGTGGTAAGACTCTCTGAAATCCATACCATTCGGTCTTCTGAGTATCAAATAGATCTTTCYTCATCACAACTTGCTAATCAATAAAATGAGAATATCCATTTAATCTCTGGTTGAGGGGTTGAAAAATAACTAAAAAGAAATAAGGTGGTAAAAAGAATGTTTTCCGTTTATTGGTCATTTTATATTCATCACACATAGACACATTGGAATATATTTGCCTAGCAAGACTACAGCTGTGGCAATGCAGCATTAAGAGTTCACCCTTAAGCCTCCATGTTTTCTGTAATTCAAGTAAATTTGTTTATTTTTTTCTATAAGGACTGACTGTTATTGTTACTTTGCTTTTGTACTTAAAAAGAAATAACTAAAAACATAATTATTCAAAGGTTTTTGATGAAAATTTTAGATAACCTATTTGAAGGATTAAAATGATTTATAATCATTAACAGGTACTTTTGTTAATTGAACAGTGGATATAGTGATATGATTATAAGRGAATGGAATATCAGAAATGTGCTTTTCCCAAGAAATTGATACTAATAATGATTTAAAATTTTTATTGCAGCTAGAAAGAGTAAATTTGTCTGCAGCTCAGACACTGAGAGCTGCTTTCATTAAGGTAAGATACAAATAATTCACGATTAAAATATATGTAAAATATGTGTAAGTCTAAATACTGTTTGATAGTTGTCAGTTTATTTGCTTTTAGAGAAAAACTTTTTAGGCATCCACGGGGTGGACTAGAGCAGATGCTGTAAGATATATATTTTACTTTATCACCTACCCCCATACCCTCTGGGCTCTTTATAGGTTGTCCTGTCTCTCAGGTTGAGAATCACTGAGCCATAAGAGTGTACATTTTTCCTTTTAGTATATTTGTCTCACATACTGGCTTCTTTATTAAAGATTGGATACCCTTGGAGTTCAAGATTGAATTCTGAGGAGAAACTTGCAAGTGCAGGTAGATCATCTACTTGTTTGTCAATCAGAGACATTCTGTAAATTTAAGTTTTTAAACTGAGAAGCAGTTTGCTTAAATAGGACTTTAGCAAGAAGACACATAACTATTATTGCCAAACTATGTGCCCAGGCATCCTGGGGCCTCACAGCAAATTCAGAAAGGTGCCGTGAAATATTTTTTTGAAAGCAAAATGTGATATTCAACATCTTTTTGATACTGCCTGAACTATATCTTAAAGTAGTTGTCAATTTCAACATATTATTACATTGGTTTGTGTTCCTTTAAATGGTATATCTTTGTGAAGGTGGACTGTTGGTCTCTGCTCAGATAAAAAGTAAGCACCACAAAATAATCTATGCAATAGAGGAAATGGAKGTTGCAGGTTCAATCTGAATCTAGTTTCTGAGAAATTGCTTAGTGCCTGATACATGCAACATCTTATATTAATAAGTATTCAGGAATGAAGTAAATACTTTTTTTCATTGTGTATCTATTATTTACTAAGGTTACTAAGTGCTTAGGACATAGTATTTATTATGTTATTTGAACCTAACTACTTAATAAACAGCATAATCAGATATGTCTTTTGACATTAATGGCATTGTAAACTCAGAAAGTTAAAGACCTCTGTAAGACTTATAATACTCCAGATTTGCCATTGAGTGGGGGAAGGCAAATCAATTTAGTCTTTAAAACTTTTGTGTTCAGACATACTGCACTTAATTCTTTTATTCCTTAATATAATTTTTCTGCTGACATTTCCTGAAGCACATTGAGAAGTTCCCCTGCCTTACCACACAAGTTAATTATTATGGAGGTAGATTTAATAATGTTTTGAGAGGGAAGGTAAAGCACTGCTACCAAATACTGCATTAAATATAATTTTTTCACACTTCACCTAGTTAATCCTATAATAATATATCTTAAGCCATATTTGGATAACTTTTCTTTTAAAGGCAACTTTTTGTTTGTTTCTATCTTAAATATATCCATGGCAGAAAAACCAACATAAGCTATAAAAGAAATGAAATTCATTTGTACACACTTTATTGTTATTAATCTATCAAAGTGAATAGTGTTCAACAGCAGTTGAAATGATAGTAGGATTGAGATAAATGTATATATTCTCTTTTCCCATTTCATTCCACGACCTTTCAGTTTTTGATATTTGAGATCTAATAAGAAACAAGATGTTATAATGGAAAGAGCAATAGGAACAGAAGAAAGCTGTAACTGCAGTGATATCAGAGTGGAATTGAAGAGGCAGAGGTTAAGTGTACTTGACACATAAGGAAGCAAAAAGATTGCCATCTGATTAGGATCATAAATTGTATTTCTATTTGCTTTCAATATTAGGGTAAAAAAATCATCAACAATAAAGATTTAAAATTGGCAGGCATTCTAAAGGAAACAAACTTTGAATATGATTTTAAAAAAATTAAATAAATGTGCCCAGATTACTAGGAAAAACAAAAATTTGAAAATTCGCCCCATTAAACTCAGAACTCTCTATATTCAGTCTTCATATGGCTAGAAGATATTAATTCTTAGGGAGTCTAGGTAATAGAACCAATGCAAATTCACTAGTGCAATAAACACAAAAGATAGTAGATGKTGTTCTGAAAGCTAGTGAATATTTATGCCACAGAAATTAAACAGGATATTAAAATTATTATGGAAAATTATATAGCTTCAAAAAAACTATAGAAGAAATTCTAGTTTTTGTTTTATTTTTGGTTTTCCTGACATTTTTTAAAATGTAAATGCAAAGGATTTGCCCAATACCAGTGAAATGAGTTACTGTTTGATCCTCAAGTTGCAATGTTAAACTAAAAATCCTCAGTGTATTTTAAAAGAGTAATTTTATGGATTACCAAAATATATATGATTGYTGTTTATTTGTTATTAGTTTTATTGTGAGAGAATATAATGGATAATTAAATATTAACTAGTTTATGTTCAAATGGAAAYTGGGAACTTTGGATATAGTAGAAGTTACTAATATACAAGCTCTAATAAAGCATACTTGCTTCACAAAGACTTCTGGTTTTATAAGTAATCTGTCTACGACATTCACAACAAATTCTCATCAGTGAACTTTAAAATGCTGTTTCCATGTCTCTGTTTCAAAACTGGCATTTTTTTCTTATAGGCTGAAAAAGAAAATCCAGGTCTCACACAAGACATCATTATGAAAATTTTAGAGAAAAAAAGTGTAGAAGTTAATTTCACGGAGTCCCTTCTTCGAATGGCAGCTGATGATGTAGAAGGTATCAGAAAGAAGAGCCTTGTTCAGTTTTATAGTTGTTGAAAGTACTTCTCCAGATCATTGTCACTTGACAAAAGGTTCTTCCTTCCCTCCTCTCCCTTTACTCTTCTTATTGTAATGATAGTAGAAGCAATCTATATAAAATAGAAAAGCAGCTCTTCTTTTTTTTATCTAACATTTGTAAAATTTAATGGTATGAATCAGTATTTGCTGATAATGCATGCTTTAATTTTTTCCCCATTAGTAACATATATAGCAAGTTCCAGTTTCACTATAAGCTCTCTGGGATGGTTACTTTATTTTCTATTGAGTTTGAAAGTGATGAGCATTTTGTTTGTCATTTTAAACTTTTAGTACGGCATTTCTTTTTTCAAGCAAATATTTGGGACTTCTTTTCTCTTTCTTTCTTTTTTTTTTTTTTGTAGTTTTGTTTTTTGCTTTTAAAAAATGATTAGAGGGCTGGGGTTGTGGCTCAGCGGTAAGTGCTCACCTAGCACATGCGTGGCCCTGGGTTCAATCCTCAGCACCACATAAAAATAAATAAATAAATAAAGGTGCTGTGTCCAACTACAACTAAAAAGTAAATATTAAAAAAAAATAACAATTAGAAATGGGTTTTATTTAATATTAGTAGCCATTTTCTCAGTAATTTAGAAAATAAAAAGGTATAATTTTACATGTTTATTAAGAGAAAACAAATAGGAGATGTTTTAACTGATTCTGTGATTTATAGTAAAACTTTCATCATTGTTTAGACAAGCATTTGCAGCTTATATTAGATTGAATTGATAGAGTTGCATTGCTTCYAGATCCACATTGAACCTGGTGATAGGCTTATTTCCCCTATGCCAAAGACTGGTTGAACCTCTTTTCAAAATTGCTATTCTGTGACCCCAGCCCTTGTGTTGGATTTGTGGTATTGTGTTGTTCAGTGAGATTTCAAGAATATGTTGAAAATTTTAGTAGGTTTTGGGGATTTGACATAATGAACTGTAATTATTTTTAGTATGGGTGTTTAAAATTATTAAACTCAACTTTCCCATTAATTTTGTTTTGTTTTGTTTTGTTTTGTTTTTCTGAACACTTTAAGGTATTTCTGTTTACCCTAACTTGGGAATGCTTAATTTTTCATCCTCTAATTTTTTTACAAAGTAGAAACCCAACTGTTATTTCTGGACTAAATTAAACTCTAATGAATCTTCTTTGCAACCTTGTCTTTTCTAACTATCTGACCTTTCTCTTCCCCCACTCCCTTTGACCATAATTGGAAATTCTTTGACCTGAATTTGTCAGGGAATTAGTTACATGATGTCTTTTATTTTGTGCTTGTCCTATCAGAGTATATGATTGAACGACCAGAGCCAGAATTCCAGGACCTAAATGAAAAGGCACGAGCACTTAAACAGATTCTCAGTAAAATCCCAGATGAGATCAATGACAGAGTGAGGTTTCTGCAGACAATCAAGTAAGTGATTTTTTGTTTTGGTTCTTCCCTTAATAGCATTTCAAAGGAACTGTATATTCTAGATTTTTTTTAATTTTAACATGATATTAAGTTGAAATATTAATTTTAAATGAAATTTGAAAATTGTAAATGTTGCGTTTTTGTTTATTTCAAAACTGGCCTAAGAGTTTAATATTTTCAGAAGGTTTAATTTAAAAACAACAGTGACTAAAATGTGCACAACAGTGTAATTTGAACTGTATAACTAGTGGAAAAGTATAAATGTCAGATTAAAATGAATAGAGAAATTAGATAAATTGAAAGAATAGTAATAAGATACCAATTTTGTTAATGATTTTTATTGTTTTGTGGCATGTCATGAACACAAATAGAATCATATTGACCAAAGTATGAACCTCCAAATTCTTGCTGGTAGTATACAAGTTAAGTAAAATAGAATCTACCAAGAGACTATAGTGCAGGCTGGCTGCAGAACAGCAGCAAGAAGGGTAATTATAACACAAATGTGCTCAGACCTGGGCACTTTTTTTTTTTTAATAATTGTATCTTTAGTGATAAGCCGTGCTACATATCTATGAAGGTTTGACATTTAAATAATATTTTCATCAGATTTTGCTTCAGGTCATTGAAATAGGGGTTATAGGATCAATGCCATCTTAATAACGGTAAATACCTATATAGAAACCATTTTGTTTCAAGCCCTATTTTAAACACTTTACCTAAGTTAACTTATTGCAATTTCTGTAAAAGAAGGGGAAATTGAAGCACAGGAATTAGGTATTATTCCCAAGGTCTTATACCAAGGTCTTCTCTGCTGCTTTCTAATCACGATGTTGATCTAATCTGGCAGTTGTCAAAGGTTTTTATTATTTGAAAGAAGTATAATAAAGAATGTTTTATGTAGAATGCCAGTATGTAAGAGAGATAACAGTATTTTGATAGAAATAATAGGCCTAGAACTCTCATCCTTTTTTCTTTGACATCCCCTTTTTCCAGCGGGGAACCCCTGGGGCAGATCTGGTAAAGCTTTTGACACTAGGGAGATACAATTTGAAAACCACATTAATAATAGCTACATTTTAGTCTTGAGGAAGTTGAACTCAGGAACTGAAGAGTGTTCTCCATAGAACACTCTTTGTCCCATTTATTATTAATAGATGTTTTATTGGGACTTTGTCTCATTTATGGGGAAATAGTAATAGTTCTATCTTCTAGAGTATAGTTGCATAACTGAATTAAGAGTAATGGCAATGTAAATTTATTTCCTAATCATTTTAGGAAGAATAGTTTGCCCTGGTATGTTTTTGGATATGTATGTTATTTCTAAGTGTTAAACTCAGCCATGTATGAATAGCATAGATTGCTAAGATCTAATTATTTGTATCAATGTGATATATTCTGGTACATTTTGATACATGTCATTTCCACTGTTAATTGTTGGACTAATAGTGGATAAAATCCCACCAGAATAAAAAATGTTGCATCATTCAAGCACAACACATTGTGCAGTTACTATTTTATCTTTAAAATATTTTATTTTCATATTCAAGGTATTTATCCTACTCAACCATTTATCTTAGCAACATTTTTCATTAAGCATGTGTCAGAGAACTGCTATACTGTGTATTAAAGGTGATGCTATAGGTTGTATTCAAATAGTAAAATGATTCCTGACAACTAGTAACTGTGCTTTTTTTTTTTTAATGTATTAACAGACTTAGATTTAAGTCTCCATTCCTCCAACWCGTGGTTCTGTGCTCTTATAAGTTGCTTATCTTCTGTCATTTTTATTTCCACCTCTTAAAATGAGGGTGGTATTTGTGAGAATTGAAAGAAATTGTGTACATAAAGTCTTATRTAGTATATACTCTAGTATCTAATCACAGCATGTGCTAGCATTGTGAAAAAAAGGATAGTTTTATTTTACCCCCAGTTCTGTATCTGAAACTCAGTGGTAGAGTGCTTGTCTAGCATGTGGATTAAACTGAGTGATATCCAGCACCACACACAAAACAAAACAAAAAAAAATTCCCAAAGTTGATGAGAAAAAAAAATGATCTGGTAAATATTTTCAAACTTCTTTTGATTAATCAATGCCTCTGTTTGACTACATTTGAACTTATGCAGATATTTTATAGAATTAATTTGTAGATTTGTTTTGGGGTACCAGAAATTGAATTCAGGGGCACTTAACCACTGAGCCACATCCCCAGACTCC